ATTTCTCGAAATATCTTCTGTTATGTTCCACTGAAGTCAGTCAGTCACACAGGCTTGAAATGACATGACATAACCAGGCTTTGTAATGAAAATGATTAAAGAAGTTTCATTTTTGGTGAACTATCACTTTAAGGTAGGTTTAGGGGTTAATTGTGTAGTTTAGGGGTTTGTTGTGTAGGCAATCAGCACTGTGATTTAGACAATTTAGACAAAATGACAGTTGTTGAAATAGGAATTATGCCAGTTTACATTTAGATTTTTAAAAACATTGTTTTATATAGCTTATTTCTTATATATATATATATATATATATAATCTTGTAGCCATCTTGTAGCCCCCTAAGTGAGCCACTGCCCCTGGTTAAGATCTACTGCTCTTCCGCCACCAAAATATAAGTAGTTTTTAAATGAATAGTTCTGACTGTTGGACAACAGCAAAAACTGTGTCCCTGTATTTTTGTTTAAATGACTGGCCATGAAAGTTTTTTTTTTTTTTTTTCCCCAGTGTCATTATTTAGGTGTAGATCATTATCCAGACCACTGCTGAAACAGACTAAATTATCATGTTAAGTGTCTCACTGCTGTGGGAGTGAGTAATCATGGTCATTAATAATCACGTCTCTTAAAATAATTTTCTAGATATTGTTAGGGCAAAATATACAGACATTTCAAATGTTTGAACAATTAAATGCTTAAAGTATAAACATCTTCAATAAAACAAAAATTGTGAACATTTTTGAGCCCTTGAGCACTGGCCGAAGAACACTTTGTGTCTCAAAATCTGCTGTCCACTTGATTAATTTGGCATGCTGTTGGGTTAGTAAAGGAGGCAGACATCATACAGTTTTTGACAAAAGAATTTACTTGCATGAATGTCCTAATAGCAAAGCATAACCCACTGCACTCTGTAGCCAAAAAAAAAAATCAAAAATCAAAGAAATATTTCAAGTTTCCCCCAACGTTTGCATCCCCTGCACTAAAAAAAGCAAACTGAGCATCAATGATGACATTCGTGATTGTTCATCACATTCAGAACAGGACAGTCAATGGTTAAAGTTGCAAAATAATCAAAGCTGATTTGACCTACAAGTAGGTATATACACATAAGAACAATGGGTGAAAACACTACAGCAGACCATTTTAGATCTTTTCCTCTCATGTCTCCACCCAAAAGTTTCTTTTAAAAACTATATTTGAGCATCATTAATGGTGTGAACTAGAGTGTGCATATGTTAGTTATGTCCGGAGCAATGTATTATTTAATGACACAGGCAAATGGCACCATCTAGCGGTCTCTCTCAGTCAAGGCAATAAGGGCTGTTTCAAAACCTAGTGAGTATATATATATATATAATCTTGTAGCCATCTTGTAGCCCCCTAAGTGAGCCACTGCCCCTGGTTAAGATCTACTGCTCTTCCGCCACCAAAATATAAGTAGTTTTTAAATGAATAGTTCTGACTGTTGGACAACAGCAAAAACTGTGTCCCTGTATTTTTGTTTAAATGACTGGCCATGAAAGTTTTTTTTTTTTTTTCCCCAGTGTCATTATTTAGGTGTAGATCATTATCCAGACCACTGCTGAAACAGACTAAATTATCATGTTAAGTGTCTCACTGCTGTGGGAGTGAGTAATCATGGTCATTAATAATCACGTCTCTTAAAATAATTTTCTAGATATTGTTAGGGCAAAATATACAGACATTTCAAATGTTTGAACAATTAAATGCTTAAAGTATAAACATCTTCAATAAAACAAAAATTGTGAACATTTTTGAGCCCTTGAGCACTGGCCGAAGAACACTTTGTGTCTCAAAATCTGCTGTCCACTTGATTAATTTGGCATGCTGTTGGGTTAGTAAAGGAGGCAGACATCATACAGTTTTTGACAAAAGAATTTACTTGCATGAATGTCCTAATAGCAAAGCATAACCCACTGCACTCTGTAGCCAAAAAAAAAAATCAAAAATCAAAGAAATATTTCAAGTTTCCCCCAACGTTTGCATCCCCTGCACTAAAAAAAGCAAACTGAGCATCAATGATGACATTCGTGATTGTTCATCACATTCAGAACAGGACAGTCAATGGTTAAAGTTGCAAAATAATCAAAGCTGATTTGACCTACAAGTAGGTATATACACATAAGAACAATGGGTGAAAACACTACAGCAGACCATTTTAGATCTTTTCCTCTCATGTCTCCACCCAAAAGTTTCTTTTAAAAACTATATTTGAGCATCATTAATGGTGTGAACTAGAGTGTGCATATGTTAGTTATGTCCGGAGCAATGTATTATTTAATGACACAGGCAAATGGCACCATCTAGCGGTCTCTCTCAGTCAAGGCAATAAGGGCTGTTTCAAAACCTAGTGAGATGCCTAAAACAGACAGCAACTTTTGGGCTTGATGTGTTTAAGACCCGTAGAAGCACTTCAGTTCGGCCCTGCTGTTGGTACCAGTAAGGACCTTTCTGTACGAGTAAGTTTATGGAGGAGGGATGGTAATGTATAGCATGTTTAAACGCGAAAGATCGTCAGATCTCAAGAAAGGAAGCTTTTCATTTCCCCTTGCAAACATATACCGTGACTACCTTATTACACACCCACACATGCACAAATGAACTACACATGGAAAAATGGACAAAAGAAACAAACAAAAAAAACTTTTCTATTGTAATATATATTTTTATATATATATATATTTTATCAAGACAATTTAATTTCAGGGAGCTGGCGAATGAAGAAAAAAAAATGATCCAAATAAAATAAGGAATAAAACAAAAAAGTTTGATGTTCCTTACACATGAAGCATCTTTAAAAAGGCAAAAGAAGAAAACACCTCACACATCTAAGCGGTGTGTTCCGACAGCTTCGTTAACCTACGTTACACATCTGGAGATGAAGTTGAACATTTTCTCTCAAACATCCTAACCATTTTTTTTTCTGACTACACTATTAAAAAAAAAAGGAGAAATGAAAAAAGTGTCAAGGCTGCGACAACAAGGGTGTAGCACGCAGGTACGTGTTTCCACTGCTTGCTACTTTAACCAGTCGGTCATGCTGATGCAGTAGCTCTTGCAGCTAAATAACAGGACATTCAAATCCTTTGTTTGTTTTTTTTACGGTTGTTGCCTGTATGTTTGTCTCTAAACTTGAACGTCAATGCCTGCAAAACTTTCGAGAGCATGAAAACAACATGATGGACAGTTTCTATGATACAGTAACCTTGGAACAACAAGCCTCTGGGGCTTCAGATGAAAACTGGAAAAACGCCTCTCTAAAAAGGCAGTTTCAAGGTTCCTGGTTGTGGAGGAAACCAGTTAACACGCTAGAGCTGTCTTCCTCTCTCTCTTCCCTTTAAAGCTCAAACATTTTCACATCTATAGTGTGTGAGTCTCCAAACCCCTAACAATCCCACCCTGTTCTACTCCTTTATGCCCCTGTACAAAATCGAAACACAAAAAGACACACAGTTGAAGATGTAGACTGAGAACACACATCCGTCAATGCACACACACGCACAGCATACGGTACGCTACCCAGGCAGAGAAACAGCACTATTCCTTTCCGTGTTACCCCATCATCGGTCCTCCCGCTGTAAAAACACTATTGGTAACAGCTAGTTCCAGAAAGAGCACTTGTACAACTGCAGAAATATGGCTTTAAAACTGTAACAATCAGTGGGAAATAAGTCCAAATAGTTTGATTTCTCTTGTCCCCACAAGATGATTTAAAAGGTGTTCGATATTTGTGTTTACAAGAGGCTTTAGTCCCGTAGTCCAGTGTTTTGAGTGTGAGCATGTGTCCTGAAACCTGCTGGTGCTGAGCTGTGGTACCTGATTGGTTGAGATTTATTCAGTGATTGATGGATTGTGTTGCACTGTGTAGTGTCAGGCTACGATTGGCTGGATGAAAGGCCAATCAGAAACCAGGACTGACCAGAGGGTCCCACCTGTTCAGGATCATTCACAGATGCCGTACTCCCGCCTAGAACCCACTCCTCAGTAGGCTTGGGTTGCTGGTGCACATGTCCTTGTATGAGTTTGCGTTTGTGTATGTGAGGGGCGTCCGGTTTGCTGGTAAGGGTGAGAGAAGTGGGGAGGGGGGTGGTCACTCCCGCACACTGGCTGAGTAGGAGAACTGCGAGAAGTGTGTGCGTGTATCTGGGTCCTCGGCATCAAGACTGTCATCTGCAAGCAACAGAGACAAAGAACAAATCATCTCAATTAATGAACATTCAACCTCTAACATCTAAATGTATGGAAGCCTGTTTCTGCCACTGAATAAAAAAAGGTAATTGAGGCATTTTTTCCTCACAATTCTGACTTATTTTCTCAGAATTGCGAGAAAAAACCTCACAATTCGGAGAAACGAAGTCAGAATTGCGAGATATAAACTTGCAGTTGCAAGTTTAAAAAGTCAGTATTGTGTGATAGAAACGATTAATGCGATATAATGCGATTCCAGACGTGAAGCAGATTTTCGCTGGAGATTATTAAGACAAACTATTTATTTCTGTGGATTAATTTTGGACGGATTAATTGTTCACCACAAGACTAGTAATGTACGCTAACAACGTAAACAGGATCCCTAATTCAAACCGGCCACAACTGTTATATTTGTCTTTTTGCGCACAAGCAAGAATAAGATCTGAAAACTACGATAAAGGGGAAGACTTTCAGCGAATAGCTCAAATTTCAGTCTGTGGCCTCCATTAACTTTCACTATAGAGAAGCAGAGCAGCCTCGACATTCTGCTAAATATCTCCTTTTATTAAAAAAATTATATTAAACATCATACTTTTCTCGTTTTATTCTTCATCTGATACATGCTGTGACTTAAGTAGGCTTGGCCTTTATAATAGCCTAAATGTTGTTTAATGAATGACACCATAATCTTCATAGTGCTTATGTTCGTAAATCTTTCATGTACAGATATTTTACCTTGTATGTAATAATAACAGCATCATGCGACTTTTACACCAATGCGGCGGCTTAGGATTGTGTTGCACTGTGTAGTGTCAGGCTACGATTGGCTGGATGAAAGGCCAATCAGAAACCAGGACTGACCAGAGGGTCCCACCTGTTCAGGATCATTCACAGATGCCGTACTCCCGCCTAGAACCCACTCCTCAGTAGGCTTGGGTTGCTGGTGCACATGTCCTTGTATGAGTTTGCGTTTGTGTATGTGAGGGGCGTCCGGTTTGCTGGTAAGGGTGAGAGAAGTGGGGAGGGGGGTGGTCACTCCCGCACACTGGCTGAGTAGGAGAACTGCGAGAAGTGTGTGCGTGTATCTGGGTCCTCGGCATCAAGACTGTCATCTGCAAGCAACAGAGACAAAGAACAAATCATCTCAATTAATGAACATTCAACCTCTAACATCTAAATGTATGGAAGCCTGTTTCTGCCACTGAATAAAAAAAGGTAATTGAGGCATTTTTTCCTCACAATTCTGACTTATTTTCTCAGAATTGCGAGAAAAAACCTCACAATTCGGAGAAACGAAGTCAGAATTGCGAGATATAAACTTGCAGTTGCAAGTTTAAAAAGTCAGTATTGTGTGATAGAAACGATTAATGCGATATAATGCGATTCCAGACGTGAAGCAGATTTTCGCTGGAGATTATTAAGACAAACTATTTATTTCTGTGGATTAATTTTGGACGGATTAATTGTTCACCACAAGACTAGTAATGTACGCTAACAACGTAAACAGGATCCCTAATTCAAACCGGCCACAACTGTTATATTTGTCTTTTTGCGCACAAGCAAGAATAAGATCTGAAAACTACGATAAAGGGGAAGACTTTCAGCGAATAGCTCAAATTTCAGTCTGTGGCCTCCATTAACTTTCACTATAGAGAAGCAGAGCAGCCTCGACATTCTGCTAAATATCTCCTTTTATTAAAAAAATTATATTAAACATCATACTTTTCTCGTTTTATTCTTCATCTGATACATGCTGTGACTTAAGTAGGCTTGGCCTTTATAATAGCCTAAATGTTGTTTAATGAATGACACCATAATCTTCATAGTGCTTATGTTCGTAAATCTTTCATGTACAGATATTTTACCTTGTATGTAATAATAACAGCATCATGCGACTTTTACACCAATGCGGCGGCTTAGTTTTTTTTTCTCTTAACAACGCATTTTTGATCCAGTGCAACTTAAATACTTGTGCGACTTATTTGGAACAGTTTTGAGGGCTAAAATATTTGCTGTCATTTTCCACACAGTGACTTGTTAATCATTTTCTCAGACACACAAAGAGTTGTGACACCTCGCAAGCAGACAGGCAAGGAGGAAGAACTGCGGTACTCACATTGGTCAGGTGGCGTGACAGTAATGGTCTGTGCAGTGAACTCGTCGTCAAAGTAGCGTGTGTCTGTCTCTGAGGTCACTTGCGGCTTGAAGGGTGGCATGAGCTGCATAAAACCACACGCAGAGATCAGCATAAATGACTGTTCACTGTTAAATGTCTAAAGTAGTAAAAAAATAAACATGTTGTGTTTGAGGGTATATGTCTTCCGATCACGCTGCATCAATCATGCTGACACACAATATTGGAACATGAACGCAAACGATATTTGAGAGCATCTGTCAAAGACATTAACAGTGTACATTCTCTAATATGTGTGACGATTACATCTCAAGAATCGGCTCCGACTGACTTAAACTCTTACCTTCTTTTGAAGGACATCTTGCCAGTTCATGGAACTGAAGAACTTGTGTGTCATCACTTCTTTGGCATCATCAGGACCTCCTCCAAGCCTTAAAAACACCAAATTCACATTACTAAAACATACACAAGACCCCCCGTCATAACGTAGAAACAGATGCTCCTCTTACCTCTGTTTGGGGTCTTTCTTGAGCAGGCCGGCCAGCAAGGCCTTTGCCTCGGGCGAGAGGTTTCTAGGGAAGCGAATCTCCTCCATTAAAATGAGCTCAAACAGACGTTCGTGGTCCTGGTTATAGAAAGGCAGCCGACCACACATCATTTCATACATGACCACTCCCAGACCCCACCAATCCACTGCACGGCCGTAATCATTGTCTTCTAATACCTACAGCAAAGAACGTGGAGAACATGAAAATAAGTAGACCATTTAGAGATGGCAATAAAGAAAGAGTAAAAAAAGTAGCTTAAACAAGACATTCTTTAATATTGGGAAGGTATATCAAAGTTTATGCTGCTGGTACTTAAAGACATCACTAAACTGCTTTTGTAAACAATTTTACTTTAATAATGTATATAAACCATAATTAGCTATTTGGCTATCAGTGACCAAACCTTGTGGACATGTGGACAATAAGAATACACAAGGAATGCACAAAGAATAACAGGCTGATATTTTTGGTTTACAAAGCATCTTTTTTCTGTTAGCCAAAAGAACAATCCTGACAAATTATATTTAAGGGGTCATGAACTGTGAAATCAAAATTCCCTTGATCTTGTGACATGTAAGAGGTCATTGTACTATAAAAACATCCTGTAAGTTTCAGAACTCAAAACTTTCTCGTAAAAAAACAGCTTATATTGAAGCCAGTCTGCCAAAACGACAGGTTGTGGAATGTACCACTTTATGACGTAATAGTGTGGCTAAACACCACCTCCGCAGAAGATCAACACCTGCTTCAACATCACTGCCTGTTTAGCCCCGCCCACCGATTCACACATGTAATGTAAATAACGAGAAAGACAAACGCAGGTCTACGCAGAAATCAAATGATAAAGATGGCTCCAAAGACAACAAGATGCAGTTCAGTGCCAAGCTGTGCAGTCTTTGCATTGCCTTCCTTCTGATCCCAACATCAGGAAAGTGTGATCAGTGGACAAACTTTCTTTTTAATGAAGTTCCAGACTGCATCAGCAAGAACTTGGCCGTTAGTTCACTTCATTTTACCGCGGATTCATTTACAAACAAGGCACAATTCGATGCAGGATTTTCAGAACGACTGAAAATAAAAGACGATGCTGTGCCGAATATATTGGATCCGACAGTAATGTCGCACCACACAAGTGTGAGTAACTGTTTTTATTACGTGGTCACTATTACTTTGTCTGTTATTTCAGATCTTTTGATATGTACTGAGTATTTATGCGTTTTAAACCTAAATCACAGCAGCATGCATCTGTGAAGGATGTAGGCTGTCAAACATACGCAACTTTTAGCCAATCGTACCAGTGGGCGTTTACTTCCGAGTAGGGTTGTGCGATTAATCGAAATCGTCATAAAATCACGATTTGAGCTTGCGCGATTTCTAAATCGCTTTATAGCACGATTTACGCGCCCCCGACCTCCCGCAGTATGCTATCCGAACCAATCAGAATGCAGCACGCCTAAATGGAGCACGAGAACAGAACAGACCGGGCGGGCATACAAACATAACGCCAGGTTCACACACTCCGTCGTCTGTGGTGCGTATTTTGTCCGCGCCCATGTTAACGGATCAGAGCGTTCACACTGCACGCGATTGCGCTCCGGCAGTGCGCTCCAGGAGCGGTGCGTCTGCAGCAGTCATGATATGTCTATTCTAGAGACATTTTGTTACACCTTTACTTAGTGATTATTTTGCCTTATGTCCGTTCTAGAGACATGTTACAGCTTTCTGATAAAGCTCTAATTGGTTTTCTTTTGGAAATATGTTTCAAATTCACACTGAATGCATTAATGACTATAAAGCATGTCTGTGTGTCAAAATCGTGATTAAAATCGAAATCGTAAAATTGATCAAACAAATCGCGATAGTTTTTTTTTGTCCATATCGCACAGCCCTACTTCCGAGTCTACAATCCACCACGCCTATTCACATAGAGCGTTCTGATGAGGGGGGTCAAAACAGGACAGAAAATAGCATATTACTTCTAAATTATGATGTTTTTTGTTTATGTAAAAATTTTCATAACATTATAAATAGACCTCAGAGGAAAGTACAAAATAAAAAAGGCAGTTCATGACCCCTTTAAACCAACCTTATGCCTTTAAGACAATTACATTAACTTACAAATTACATACAAACGTAACAGAAAATAGTTTCAAGCCTTTTGTCTTTTAGCTTTCTACTTCATAGGACTTGCTTTAAATTAATGTTTAAATATTCCTTTTTTTTATTTTTTATTCTTAAACCTTCTTCTAGTACTTCTTGACATGTATTGTGTAATATTGCAAAGATGCTTTGTAGCTTCTGCTCTCCTTTCAATATGGTGAAGTTCAAAACACACAAACAACAAGATGGTTTTCCTGCTTTAAAACAGTGTGGGATTTCATTATAATAGGTCATAAAATGAGAAAATCAGAGCTGGGCCTGATTCACAGGGTTTTTCCACATTTAATCTATTAAACTATGATCCAAAAATCGATTGAAAAAACACATTCATGGAGTGAGTAGGCAGTACCTCAGGAGCAAGGTACTCTGGGGTCCCACAGAATGTCTTCATGGTGGCCTCATTAGTAATGCCCTCTTTACACAGGCCAAAGTCTGTGATTTTAATATGACCATCTTTGTCCAGCATCAGATTCTCCAGCTGCAGAGACAAACGCAATTCGAACAGAATTAGGAAATAGTGTTTTGCCATTTGTGGAAAAAAGGAACACAGACTTCACGTCTTTGTGGTCTATGACACAATTTTCAAAAACAATTCAAAGTATTTTCACAATAATTACATAGAACATTAAACACAGAAAACCTTTAGGTCCCTGTAGACGACATCTTTAGAGTGCAGATATTCCAATGCTGAAACAATTTCAGCCCCATAGAAGCGAGCTCTATCCTCCGTAAACACACGCTCTCGAGACAAGTGGAAGAACAGCTGGAAACACGTAAAAAGGAGACAAAACAGAATTTTAAAAGAGACAGAATGTGAAGGCTTTTCTAGTTTGTTTTTGTAAGGAGCGACAAGATGTGCCAAACCTCGCCTCCATTTGCGTACTCCATGACGAAACACAATCGATCTCGTGTCTGGAAGGCGTATTTTAGTGTCTGTAGAGAGATTGAAAACAATGTGAACTAACAAATCTAGAACCAAGATAATTGTGCAACAAAAAGCCCCTGATGGAGATGGACGTACTGTAAGGAACGGATGCCGTGTGTTCTGCAACACTCTGCTTTCCGTGATTGTGTGTGCAACCTCGTCCTGAAATAGACAAAAAAGGACACACCACTGTGTCATGAGTCTCACACAAGGAGCATTTTAAACTTCTGATTCGTGTGCTGCCCACCTTAGCAATGATGACCTCTTTGCGTAGGATCTTCATGGCATAGTACATGCCAGTAGCCTTTTCCCTTACTAGAATCACCTTTCCAAAAGTGCCTTTACCCAGCAGCTTTAAGTAGTCAAAGTCACTCATTGTCTAAAGAAGAAAAAAAATGATTCATGAAGTTTTTTGTATTAGAATTAAATCTGCTCAGTCATAAAATCTCAACATTTTAAAAAAGGCTTTTATAAATAAAACCTACTTTTTATATTTTATTTATAATAAACACATTGAGACAATCCTTATTAATAGAAAGAGAAAAAACACATTTTAGTCATACAAAAATTAACAACTTAAACTCATTGTCACACACTTGCAAACTCACAATTTAACCGTTTTGTGCAATATCATCTACAGTTATGCCAAGTAATGGATAATGTACAGCCAGCCTGACATTATCACAAAATAAACCATGGCAGGGTGAATAGGACCCCAAAGCAGAGTGGAAGAGTCTCATATAATGCTGAACAGGATTATTTTGACAAGCTGATTCTGAGTAATTTTGTTTATTACAGTAATCCACATTATTCCAGTCCATTAATTAACATCTTGTGAAGCAAAAACCTGTGTTTGTAATAAACAAGTCCATCATCAAGAGGTTTTTAACTTCAAACCGTTGCTACAAACTAAAATACAAATCACTATCCATAATATTCCTTTCTCCAGTAAAAAAGGTCGTCTCATCAGAATCAGGAGAGAAATATAAACAGATAAAGCACCGTTTAAGAAGCGAAAAACAGTCCAAGAGTTCTAAACAAATATGTTGGTGGATTCTGATGTGAGAGGGCAACAGGAGACAGACTTTTCTCTGGAGGAAGTGTTATTATGGACTCAAATTTTGGCCAGAAACAACAGTTTAAATTTAATACACCTTAACGATAGATTTGCTTCTTACAAACAAACAGCTTTTCGCTTTGCAAGTTAACTGATGAACTAGAGTCATGTCAATTACCTGTGGATTACTGTGTTGTTTAAATCAGCTTTTTGAACTCATTCTTATTGCACCCATTCACTGCAGATGCTAAGCAAATCTGATCAAATGAAGAAACAAACTCATCTACATCTTGAATGGCCTGAGGGCGAGTAAAAAAAATTTTTTTGGGGGGGGGGGCAATTATTCCTTAAAATAACTGGATATGAAATATTATTCTATTATTTAAGAAGATAGAGAGGGCAAGGTGATACGAGAAACATGAAACTGGCACAGCTGTGTAGGAAACTGGTTCCTTCAGACAATGGACAACTGAGATCGTTTCTTATGGAGAAGTGAAACGTTACCCAAACCACCAGAACGTCGCTACACCTTGAGTTAAGGCACTTACCACTTTGGTGCGGGACTTTGCGATGGCAGCCTCCATCCCCTCCAAGCTGTTGTCTCCAGGGGAGCCAAAGTTGATGTCCATTGGCTCCTCCTCTTCCCGGGACTTGAGCCCATTGGCCACAGCCTGGATTGCACGTATCCACTCCTCTCTGCATTGACATCAAGATAAAATCATATTCATTAAATCCAAGAAATCCATTAAAACAATAAGCAAGTTGTGGTTCCTCTTGTTATTTTCTATGTTCTTACACTGGTCACATGTACATGATTGCCATCCTTTGAAAGAATTGGGCTCTTTAGTCACATAATGACCTAAACACAATTCCTGTTTCCACTGAAATGTTTTTCAACTCCCTTACGATTCAATATAATCAACAGGCAGTGAGTAATAACCTGTTTTGGTTGGCAAAAATCTGGTTAATACAACTAAATCTGCTTTTCCAGTAAATACCATTCAGCATCTGCTTCTTAAGCTCTCTCTCTTCCACTCATTCATTCCCAACAAGGACACTGATTGCAGCAGGACCTTCCATCTCATCTCCTCACCTTTCAGCATTGCTGTCCACATGGAAGGTGCGCTCAATAACAGTGGTCCACTGCAAGCAGCGAATGACAAACGTGTTTGGCCGAGGTCGTTCAGTCTTCATCAGCTGACACTCTGTGAAGGATATTAAAGTTCTGAAAAGTTGTATTTTGGATTTAAATTTGTTGAATTTGTCAAAAGTTTCTAAACTTCATATATTAAGTCAACTGCTATTTGATGACCTCTTGCTTTCTGAATTGGGAGATGATTCTTGACCGAATACGCTAGTATCCAGGTTTAGGAGATTTAAACAAACAAGAACATCCAACATTGATTGAAAAACACACACAAAACCTCAAGTCAAATTCTTTTTTTTTCTTTTTTTTGTACTTTCGCAAACACATTAATTTGTATTTAAACATTAATTGTGTAATTGTGTAAAATTAAAAACACTTTTTAACAGGTTTTGTTAAACACTGCCCCATTTTCTACTGGTCAGACAAACAGATAAAGTTTTTGCCATAATTTACCACTACCACTTTAGGTGCTAGGTGATGGGAAAAGTGATCCTTAAAATCTCTAAATAAGCTGAAACAATGAAAGATTCAATGTTGCCAGATATAAACAAATGTATAAAAATAAACAACAACAAAAAAACCTGCTGATATTGTCCAATTTCCTATTTGGTGCAATTATCTTGCAATTATCTTTAACATGCATCCCTTGCCTTAATAATAGCCCATATCCCAAAAACTAAACTACCTTGTTAGCATACTAAACACAATCTGGTTTGTGTGGAGAGATACAGTAAAGTGTGGCAGACCTGCAACAGAAAAGTTATTGAGAGGCGGCTGATTGTGGTCTGACGTCTCTGGCTTCTCCTTGTAGCCGATGAAAGAGCCATCACTCTTTAGAATGAAATATCGGGGCCTCCAAGTCTTAATGTATTCACCTGCAGACAGGAGGAGGAAGAGATACAAGGAAGTAGATGGCAGGAGAAAGAAAGTGGGGATAAATCAAAAAGGCAGAGACAAGGAAGACAACAACTCAGTGTTTACAATACAAAAATATGATAGACTGTTGATAGGGTGAGTAAGCAATCTCACCTCTCTTGTGGAGCCAGCCCTCTCTGACGATGCTGACCTCGTTCATGCTGGGTTAGGGGTGTGTGGGGCGTAGGGCAGGGTGGCAGGGAGGTTGGGGGAGGGGGAGCGTTGAGTCTCGGGTCAGGCAGATGTTCAGTATCGCAGAGCCAGACTCACCTGGGATCATGCAAATAAACCAATGTTAACCACAATAAAGTATAACACAGGAAGCACCACAGACTAAGGAGTTTTACATTTCTGTTGCTTATTTTTTAGCAAACAGTGTTTGTGAACAAAACAAGAACAATGCCAACATTAGATGCCCACTGACTTTCAATATATGGCAAAAAGGTGTTTTTCATAATATCTTTTTGTGCGTGTGTTCAACAGACTAAAGAAAAACATTAGGTTTGGAAGAGGGTGAATAAATGAGAATTTTCAATTTGGGTGAATGATTCCTTTAATAAAAGCATTTTGCGTGTGAATTTATTATTATCATTACTGCATCCAACATACTCTAGCACACAACTGAAGATTTTCCACAAATGGTCACTAGGGTTGTGACGGTGAGGAAATTTTCCCACCGGTTAATCGACGTGTGACCACACCGGTAATACCGGTATCACCGTTGGGGTGGGGGTGTTAGTTCGTTTGAGTTTCCCTCTTTTCTTCGCTTTCAAATGGCTTGTAAAAGTACCTCTTGCTTTCTGAATTGGGAGATGATTCTTGACCGAATACGCTAGTATCCAGGTTTAGGAGATTTAAACAAACAAGAACATCCAACATTGATTGAAAAACACACACAAAACCTCAAGTCAAATTCTTTTTTTTTCTTTTTTTTGTACTTTCGCAAACACATTAATTTGTATTTAAACATTAATTGTGTAATTGTGTAAAATTAAAAACACTTTTTAACAGGTTTTGTTAAACACTGCCCCATTTTCTACTGGTCAGACAAACAGATAAAGTTTTTGCCATAATTTACCACTACCACTTTAGGTGCTAGGTGATGGGAAAAGTGATCCTTAAAATCTCTAAATAAGCTGAAACAATGAAAGATTCAATGTTGCCAGATATAAACAAATGTATAAAAATAAACAACAACAAAAAAACCTGCTGATATTGTCCAATTTCCTATTTGGTGCAATTATCTTGCAATTATCTTTAACATGCATCCCTTGCCTTAATAATAGCCCATATCCCAAAAACTAAACTACCTTGTTAGCATACTAAACACAATCTGGTTTGTGTGGAGAGATACAGTAAAGTGTGGCAGACCTGCAACAGAAAAGTTATTGAGAGGCGGCTGATTGTGGTCTGACGTCTCTGGCTTCTCCTTGTAGCCAATGAAAGAGCCATCACTCTTTAGGATGAAATATCGGGGCCTCCAAGTCTTAATGTATTCACCTGCAGACAGGAGGAGGAAGAGATACAAGGAAGTAGATGGCAGGAGAAAGAAAGTGGGGATAAATCAAAAAGGCAGAGACAAGGAAGACAACAACTCAGTGTTTACAATACAAAAATATGATAGACTGTTGATAGGGTGAGTAAGCAATCTCACCTCTCTTGTGGAGCCAGCCCTCTCTGACGATGCTGACCTCGTTCATGCTGGGTTAGGGGTGTGTGGGGCGTAGGGCAGGGTGGCAGGGAGGTTGGGGGAGGGGGAGCGTTGAGTCTCGGGTCAGGCAGATGTTCAGTATCGCAGAGCCAGACTCACCTGGGATCATGCAAATAAACCAATGTTAACCACAATAAAGTATAACACAGGAAGCACCACAGACTAAGGAGTTTTACATTTCTGTTGCTTATTTTTTAGCAAACAGTGTTTGTGAACAAAACAAGAACAATGCCAACATTAGATGCCCACTGACTTTCAATATATGGCAAAAAGGTGTTTTTCATAATATCTTTTTGTGCGTGTGTTCAACAGACTAAAGAAAAACATTAGGTTTGGAAGAGGGTGAATAAATGAGAATTTTCAATTTGGGTGAATGATTCCTTTAATAAAAGCATTTTGCGTGTGAATTTATTATTATCATTACTGCATCCAACATACTCTAGCACACAACTGAAGATTTTCCACAAATGGTCACTAGGGTTGTGACGGTGAGGAAATTTTCCCACCGGTTAATCGACGTGTGACAACACCGGTAATACCGGTATCACCGTTGGGGTGGGGGTGTTAGTTCGTTTGAGTTTCCCTCTTTTCTTCGCTTTCAAATGGCTTGTAAAAGTGCCGTGCTCATTTTACTTTCACTTTCAAATTAGCGGCAATTGAATTGCCGCAATTCGGCATCAAGCAATTGTTCGTTTGAGTTTTCCCCGGATTTCTTGGCTTTCAAATAGCTTGAAAAAGCGCAGTGCGCGTTTTACTTTCACTTTCAAATAAGCAGCAAATCGGCGTTGATTCAATTCAAACAACAACAACGTCAAACTCAGAAATTTTATTGGAGTGGCCGAGAAGGGTCCGCTGCCATTATACAGTACGAGAGCGGCCTCCAGAGGCGGAAATCACTAACAGCACATGTTGTTTGTTTTTACACGTGACACTGCGCGCTGCACAGAGCGGGAAACTTCAAACTCAAAAGAAAATCCTGCCGCGGAACAGAGCGCCATTCACATAGTTTTCCATTAAATTACATTATATTTGTCCCAAATCATTGTTAATGTACGTAATGACTTCACCCTAGGCTATGAATTATGTATTGTGCTCTTTCTGTGGCTCTAATACAGTCTTTATGCTTCATATAGAGAGCTGTAATACAGATCGCACTTTCTCTTTCCCTTTGCTCTGTTTTTTTTAAACACCGAACTTCAAACTCATTTATGCCACATTGTTCATTCTTGAAGCAAACTTATGTCCGTTTGGTGATTAAATAAACAGTTTTAGACCGCTGCTGGAATTGAAAGTGACGCGTCTGGTGTGTGACTTCTCCGAGAACGCATCGCAGGGCTCTACAGTGCATATGCGACTGAAAACTACTGCGTGATGAAAACTACTGCGTGTTACATACTTTTAATAAAGATAGAAAAATGCCATTACAAAGGTAAAAACTAAACTCGACTGTAAATCACTTTAAGGAGTCAAATATCACCTCGTAATGGGAAGGCTATTTTTTTTTATCAAATTTTGGTGCTCCTAAATTTTTGACTGTGCTCCTAAATTTTTTAAGTTAGCATGACTGTTGAAATTAAATGGTAATACTTTACAGTAAGAGTCCTTTTGTAATATTAATGAAAGCTGTAAAAGTATTGTTCCTAGTGTGTTCATTTCAACATTTACTATTACTAATAGGCTATTTTTTTACATTTTTAAAGTTTCTTTTTTTAACATTAGTAAACTATGAAATAACTTTAATGATCAATATAATAATTAATATGAATATGTTTATTCATTTACAAAGTATGGTTCAGTACTGCTACTGCTTTTTTTAAAATAGTAAAGTTCTGTTTTAGTTTTCGTTTACCATTTTAAAAACTATCGGTTGATTAATCGGTATCGGCCAGTGTGGTCCAACCTAGCTATCGGTATTGGTAAAATCCACTATCGGTCGACCTCTAATATACACCTTGATGTAAAATAAAACAAATAAAATACAGTTTAAATAAAGTAATCAGCAAACACTGTGGAACCAGTAGGTAGGCAAATGACGTGGTGTTGCAGCTTAACACCGGTATAACCGAAAACACCGTCTATCGCAGCAAGCCTAATGGTCACCTGACCAAAGCTGCAGGAATGCCACCTGTTTAGAAATGTTTGTAATGTAAACTTGACATAAATGCAGCATTCAGCACTCTGCAACAGATAAGCCTCAATTTCACATTTAACAGATGAGGGACAGCTGAATTTCATTTGTTATCATCTCACTGAATAAAACAGAGACTCCCGTGCACGATCCAATATCAAGCTCTAACTGGGCGCAGGAGGAAAGAAATGAAGGAACAGATCATGACAAAGAGGTGAGTGCTAGACATTCTATGGAAAATTTCAGTGGTATTATACACTGCATGACTGAATCTAAAGTGCTGAGTCATTATTCACAAACAAGTTTCTTTACATGTGGGATAAAAGTGCTGATGGAGGATCAGGGTCTCGATCCTGGTGGATGATGATGGATATAATCAGTGTTAATTTTTTTTGTCTTGGACTTCTTTAAGAAGACAATGTAATCTGTGTGTAGTATATGAGTGGACTATTGATCACATTTTATTATTAAATGGCTTATGTGAACAATGCAAATATTAACCTCACATCTGTCCTGAGACCCAGAAAGCACGACCAATCCAGTTCAAAAAGACAAGACAGACACCCTAAGATACATTATCAGACTTTTAAAGATGTCTCATTCTTTGATGAATAATTTATTGTAGCCATAATGGATTCAAAATATGATAATTTATTATATAAAATTATATTCATTATGCGTTTAATATGATTATTGATGATTGTGATTGTTTTTATGCTGTATTTGTTCTAAGACCATTTACCTCTATTGATTTGCATGACATCAGTTACATAAAAGGAACAAATTTTCTTATTTTTTATGCTCCTGTGGAACTTAATTTGAATTTACAACATGTTTAATTGATGTGTTGTGCTTAGATAAATGAAGTGTGTGCTAAAAAGTTATCTGGTGGAAGAAAGACCAAAATAACCACGAAACCTGCATTCCCTGTCCATATTTGCAAAAGAACAGGGAATGCAGTTTTTTTGGTTATTTTGGTCTTTTTGACCAAAACCATTTCTGACAAGAAATGCGACAACACTATTCTATCACCATGGAGATGCCAATTAGACTGCAGTAAAGCCAGTCTGAGCCACAGGTGAACATGCCACTTTGTACGGCGAACAAGACAAGACACCTGCTGTTTTCAGAAGCGACATTAGAAAGCACAAGCTTTTGCTGCAACGCTTGATAACTAGGGGACAGAAATGTTCATCCACTTAAAGAAAATGTGAGCGTAAGTTTGTACATGTATCAGCTGATGTTTTGTTACGCAAAAGAAAGTCATACGGGTCTGGAACAACATGAGGGTAAATAACATTTTTCAATATGAGTTGAACTACTGAAATAGTCATTTTATCTGTTATTGACCTAAGCATCAAAATAATTACTGGCTTATCGTATCTGTCAATGTTAATATTGGTGCAACCCTTTTTTTTTTTTTTTTTAATGTTTTAAAAAATGCTTAAAGGGATAGTTCACCCAAAAATGAAAATTCTGCCATTAATTACTCACCCTCATGTCGTTCTAAACCCGTAAGACCTCTGCTCATCTTCGGAACACAAATTAAGATATTTTTGATGAATTCTGAGAGGTCTCTGACCCTCCCATAGACAGCAATGTAATTACCACAATCAAGGTCCAGAAATGTAGCAAGGAGATCGGTAAAATAATCCATGTGACATCAGGGGTTCAACCGTAATTTTACAAAGCTACGAGAATACTTTTTGTACACAAAGATAACAAAAATAACGACTTTATTCAACAATTTGTCTCCTCCGCGTCACCCTGGTGCCATTTTCGAGAGTATCCACTATCCACAAAAATCTAACGCGGATACGTTGTTTTCGTTCAAATCAAACCTTAAACAACGTAGAAAACTTTTTCTATGTTGTTTACGTTTTGATTTGAATGAAAACAATGTATCTGCGTGACGCAGCTGACACAGAATAGCATACGCTGTTTGCGTTCAGTGGATACTCTCCACAATGGCACCAGGGTGACGCGGAGATGACGAATTGTTGAATAAAGTCATTATTTTTGTTTTCTTTGCATACAAAAAGTATTCTCGTAGCGTCGTAAAATTACGGTTGAACCCCTGATGTCACCTGGATTATTTTACCGATCTCCTTGCTACGTTTCTGGACCTTGATTGTGGTAATTACATTGCTGTCTATGGGAGGGTCAGAGACCTCTCAGAATTAATCAAAAGCATCTTAATTTGTGTTCCGAAGATGAATGGAGGTCTTACAAGTTTAGAATGACATGAGGGTGAGTAATTAATGACAGAATTTTTGGGTGAACTAACCCTTTAAAACAAGGTATTAGATAAATCCACTTGAGTAGCTATAAAATATTAAAGATAATAAGAGTTGCTGTCAGTGCAAAATAGGGCTGGGCGATATGACGATATTATAGTATATCGACGATGTCTCGTAACTATTGCGATGTCGATGTCAACAGTCAGGTAACAGACGATTATCGACATTATCGGGAAAAAATGACAAATGATAAACCTAGTAAGTTGGAAAAAATATTTTACATAGCCCCATAGTCACCATACAGTTTTTTTTGCATGCAAGAATGAAATAATTTAGTAGGAAGGTTGGGAATCGAAAAGCTATTCCAATTTCGAAAATCAGATCAGATGCGTAAGGTCAGGAATCAAATTACTTGTTATAAAATTACATTTCGTTTCTGCGTCTCGATTTATGTATGCACATTTATTGTGATTTTAAAAGATTCAACTGCAAGAAGATGAAATAGAACTCGCTTCTGCACTCGCGCGCTGTTTTCCGCGCTGCGCACTCACACACACACACAAAGCGCACGCAAAAACCGCCTCTTATATACGCGAACACTGGACTGAGCTCTCTCTCGCGTTCTTATGGACAAATACACATAGAAGTATATCAAAATATCCCATAAATACAATCGGTTATGTCTTAAGTGAACGTATAGAGCTCAAATCACGATTTTATGACGATTTCAATTAATCGCACAGCCCTAGACATTACTATATGACATCAACATGCATTTATCATTCTTACAATCACCGCCAGAATGTCCAACTTCACCATGATGAACTTAAAATTGGGTTCTATTATTTTTCCTCAACAGTTCTCCTCACAAAACGAAATTCATTTCAAACACAAATTTGATAAGAACAAGGTGGAAATTATTAGCAACACCAAAATAACAGCAAAGCTAATGTTTTCTGTTAGTTTAAGCACAAACTAAGAAAAGTAAAACCAAACTTTGTGGCAATAATTAAGACCAAACTAAACAAGGTGTGTGTTTATGGTGCATGTCGGCAATGTTGTCTCGGCGGGGACGGGGCGCGGTGGAGGTGGGGTTTAGGTAGACGATATTATCGGATATCGCAATATTTTTAAAGGCGATTATCGATAAGATATTTTTGACATATCGCCCAGCCCTAGTGCAAAGCTGATTTTTTTTTCTTACTGCATTGAAAATTTGTAAATTGTTTTAAGGATAAATCTTACCAAATTATGTTACAATCAAGCTTAAAAGAAGAAAAAAACATGGTAGAGTGCTAAGAAAAATAAACTATATATTCTTTAAAAAAAAAAAAACCTTCTTAGCCTAATATATTTATTAAATTCATCTGAGACACAAATTTCAGCTTGTTATAGAGTATTTAAACTTTTTTTTCGTGACCAGAAAATGTTTTAAGATTTTTGTTTGTTTGTTTTATTGCAGAGTGGCCGAAGTCCAAAAAGCCCAGTTCCAACTCCCAATTTTTTCCCACCTTGATACAGCTTTGGTCCTTTCTTTAATGTTAATCTGTGTGATTTTCTGCTCATTTTCTATCATTGATCTCTTAATAAATAATAACACCTTTCCTTAACAAGAAACACGATTCGAAGTAGTATCTTTCAAATATGTAGTACAAACAGTGCAGGACAAAATGCATGTCATGGTTTCACGTTCAGTATTAAGTGTTTGTTTAAATCACTAAACATATACAATAGTAACAGATATTCTTGCCTTAGCAAACAGCACAAAAAAAAAAAGCT